TTCTCTTCTTGTCGATGTCTATTCTACAGTGGAATGTTCGTGGTTATTACGCCAATTTCCTTGAACTTCAACTTCTGATTTTGTGGTTTTCGCCCCTTTGTGTCTTTCTCCAGGAGCTGATGCTTGGTGCTCGTCCTGGTCGCTTTCGTGGCTATTCGTTTCTCTCGCCTCCCCCCCAGCTGTTGCTGGGCTCATAACTCTTCCGCTCTCTTCATTCGCTCTGATGTTCCCTTTGTCTCCCTTACTTTTTCCTTCGCCTCTCCATTGTTCTGCTGATCGTATCTTTGTGAGGAAATGGTACACGGTTTGTTCCATTCATCTCCCCCCCGAGTGTCCCACTTTCTCTTCCCGATCTACTGGACTCCTTGCTGGAGCCTGTACTCCTGCTAGGTGATTGCAATTGTCGTCATTCCCTTTGGGGTGATGTTCTGGCAAACACCCGGGGTTGCCTTCTTGAGCCGTTCATCCTCTCTTCTTCCCTGTCTCTTCTGAATTCTGGTCAGCCCACACATTTGGACTCTCGGACTTGCACCCTTTCCTGTCTTGATCTTTCACTTTGCTCGTCGTCTTTTTACTTAGATTTCACGTGGCAGGTTCTTGATGACTTCCATGGCAGTGACCATTTCCCCATCCTTGTTACCTTTTTCTCTTTTCACCCTCCCCTCTCCTTCCCTAGGTGGCAGTTTGCTAAGGCAGACTGCAACTTATTTACCCTCTCTGACCTCTCCCTCACTCTCTCCTCCTTTTTCATGACACCGTCTTCGATGCTGCCCTCCGCTCTATTCCTCGCTCTTCCTCTCGGGGACCAGGGAAGTGCATTCCCTGATGGAATGCTGACTGTGCTCGGGCTGTCCGCTGTAAGTGTGCAGCCTGGAAGAGACACCGCCGCTGGCAGACGGCCGATTCTTTTCTTTTGTTTCGGAAGGCGAGTGCGGTGGCCCATAGGTCTATCCGTACGGCTAAACATGAATGTTGGGTGTCTTGTGTTTCCACCATTATGTCCAAAACTCCTCTACAGCAGATCTGGAAGCGTATCCACAAGATAGCGGGTAAGTTCATTCCCGATGTCTCGCCGGTCCTTCACCTCTGTGGTACTCTTGTGGCGGACCCGTTGAGGTCGCTTCTGAACTGGTTTCCCACTTTTCTTCTGTTAGCTCTGGTTCTCATCTTCCCCAATCTTTCCTTCTTCGTAAACCTGTCCTTCAATCTCGTCTTTTAGATTTCTGCACTCATCTTCGACTTCTCTATAACGATCCCTTCTCTCTCTCTGAACTTTGGTCTGCCCTGGCCCTCAGTGGTTCTACAGCGGCGAACTCCGATAGCATCCATTATGAGATGCTTCGCCATCTCCCTCCATGCACGTTTCAGTATTTGCTGAGTCTGTATAATCGGATCTGGGAGTCGTCGTCAGTCCCTGAGCACTGGCTCAATGCCGTTGTATTCCCTGTTCGCAAACCAGGGGTCTCTGGGAACATCCCCTAAGGACTTTCGCCCTATTGCCCTCACGAGTTGTGTCTGCAAACTCTTGGAACGTATGGTTAACGTTCCTCTGATGTGGTTCTTAGAATACCATCACCACCTCTCCCCTTCTCAATTTGGTTTCCGCAAGTGCCGCAGCACAACAGATGTCCTGATGAACTTGGAGGTCTATATTTGTACTGCTTTTGCTGCGAAGACCTCCGTTGTTGCCGTCCTTTTTGACCTGGAAAAGGCCTACGACACCACTTGGCGATATCGTATTCTATCCCAATTTCTTTCTTTTGGCCTTCGTGGTCATCTCCCTCTCTTTCTCCAAAGCTTCCTCTCTCGTCGTGCCTTTCGGGTGAGGATTGGTACTGCTCTCTCTGCCTCTTTTCAGCAATATGAAGGTGTGCCCCAGGGTAGTGTTCTGAGCACTACTCTCTTTCTAGTTGCCCTCAATGGTCTTCTTTCCTCTCTTCCTTCTGGCATCTTCTTCGCTCTCTATGTCGACGATCTTTGCTGTCAGGTTGATGATTCGCCTCTCCTTCAATGCCGGCTTCAACTTGCGATTGATGCCGTGGCGTCTTGGGCCACCGATCATGGCTTCAGGTTATCTGAGTCTAAGACTTGTGCTATGACTTTTACTCGGAAGCGTGTCATTCTTCGTCTTTCTTTGTTGCTTTATGGTCACCCTATTGTGTGCAAGGATATCGCTAAGCTTTTAGGGTTGATTTTTGACACTCGTTTGTCTTAGTCACCCCATATCTCTTACCTCGGAGTTGAATGCTCTAAGGCCCATACCTTCCTTTTAGGTATTGTCCCACACTTCTAGGGGAGCGGATAGGCGTACTCTCCTCACTTCACATTCCTCTCTCGTCCTGTCTAAACTCGATTATGGTTGCCCTGCTTAGTCGTCTACTTCTCCTTCTACTTTTCGCCGTCTTGATGCTTTGCACCATACCAGGTTGCGCCTTTCGTTCGACTTCTGTCCTTAGCTTGTATGTTGACACTGGCTTCCTATCTCTCTAGGACCGCCGTGATCGCTACTGTCTTCGCTCTCTTGCGTGGTCCATGCAGGATCCTTCCTCTCGCCTCTGCCATGCTTTAACTTTTGCCCCTCCTGTGGTTCCTTTTCCTCTTCACCACCTCCCTCTTTCTGTCCAATTATCTCGCTTACAGGATTCTCTTTCAATTTGTATTTCTAATATTTCTCCTCGTGTTGTTCCTTCTTTGCCCCCATGGAGAGTCCCCTTCCACAGTTTTGTACATCCTTAACCCGCATCACTAAAGCTTTTACCCCTCCTACGGTTCTAAAATGCCTTTTCTTTGAGCATTTTTCTTCTCACTCCCGCTCCGTTTCTGTCTTCACCGATGGGTCTAAGTCTGCGGACGGTGTAGGCTACTCTGTTGTTTTTCCTGATTGCACTTATATGTGTCGCTTACCTCCAGAGACTAGCATCTTCTCAGCGGAACTTTATGCTATGCTATTCTCTATGCTCTTCGTCTTCTGCTTTCTCGTCAATCTTCCTTTGTAGTTATTGTGGACTCTCGTAGTGCCTTCATGGCTCTCGGGTCCTTTAATCCGGTTCATCCAATGATTGTTGAGATCCAGCATTGGCTATTTCTTATTCACAGTAAATTTAAGGCAGTTGAGTTTTGCTGGGTTCCCAACCATATTGGTGTCTCTTTAAATGAGCGTGTGGATGCCGCCGCCAGGGAAGCTGTCTGCTCCTATCCCCATCTCTCGTAAAGGTATTCCTTATTCTGACTTTTACCCAGTTATCCATTCCTCTATCCTTACCCGTTGGCAGGCTTGTTGGTCTTCTGTTACTGGTAACAAACTGCGTGCTCTTAAGAGTTGTGTGTCCTCGTGGCCGTCCTCCTACCACCGTAACCGGCGATGGGAAAAGCTCTGGCGAGGTTGTGTATTGGGCATACTTGCTTAACTCATGGCCACTTAATGGAGCACCGCCCTGCTCCTTATTGTCCTAATTGCATTGTCCCTCTTACTGTCGTGCATATCCTTGTTGAATGTCCTGACTTACGGGACGAGCGTGTGTCTTGTTTTCCAACCGTCCCACAAGGTCCCTTGTCCCTCGATAAAATTCTTGGTGACTCGGATACTTTTGATATCGTTTGCCTTATGCGTTTCTGTTCTCGTATTGGCATCCTTGGTGATATTTAGCGCCCTCTGATTATCCCGCACATTTGATGGTGCTATATAGCCTGCCCAGTTTGGTGCCTTCTTTTGATAATTACTTACTTTCCCGACACAGGTGAAGCATGTATATAGTAGGTATATAAAAACATGCACCTAATTGAATGCAACGTTATGTCAAAATTTCAAAGCAATCGGTAAAGAGGTTTCGAAGATTTCCCCTCACATGAAAAACACAGTTTAAAAAAAAATGTTTTTTCATGTCACAGACGTGACATATATATAAAGTTTATTTAAAACCCCGCTCGGATGTGAATGGAACGTTGTGTGAAAATTTCAAAGCAATCAGTAAAGAACTTTTGGAGATTAGCGATTTTGAACAAACGAACATTTCCATTATTATATATATAGACTACCAGTACCTGGCCACGCGTTGCTGTGGCTCAGCAAACTTCTCTGTCCCCCAGTCCTCCCCATCATTTTCTCCTCACCCATCTTCTCGGCCTCCCAACCATTTCCCACTCCACCATGCCCCACTCCCCTGTCCCTTTGTCCTCCCCACCATTCTCGATTTCCCCATCCCCTCGTCCCCACCATCCCAAACTCCGCCATATCCTCATCCTTCCCCCCATTATCCCCTCCCTTGTTCCCTCGTCCTCCCCCTCCATCTCTCACTTCCGTCCTCTCGTCATCCCCACCATTCCCCACTGTCTCGTCGGATGCCTTCCCAAATGGTCTGATGTTCCCATCAGAAAATTGAGAACATCAAGTGATCTGATGTTCCCATCACTGAAATAAGTAAGGTGTGGTTCTTAAGCTTTATCTTGCTCTGGTTAGGCCCCATTTAGATTATGCAGTTCAGTTTTGGTCGTCTTACTATAGATTGGATATAAATTCACTTGAACGTGTGCAGCGTAGGATGGCTAAGTTAATTCCCCAAATTAGAAATCTTTCATATGAAGAAAGATTAACAAAGCTTAAGTAGCATTCACTGGAAAGGCAAAGAGTTAGGGGTGACATGATAGAGGTTTACAAGTGGATGAAGGGACATAACAAAGGAGATATTAATAGGGTATTAAAAGTATCAACACAAGATAGAACACGAAACAATGAATATAAATTGGATAAGCTTAGATTTAGGAAAGACTTGGGTAAATATTGGTTCGGTAACAGGGTTGTTGATTTGTGGAACTAATTAACGCGTAACGTGGTGGAGGTGGGGTCCCTCGGTTGTTTCAAGCGCGGGTTGGACAAGTATGAGTGGGATTGGGTGGTTATAAATAGGAGCTTCCTAGTAAGGGCAATAGGCCTTCTGCAGTTACCTTTGTTCTTATGTTCTTATGTTCTTAAGGTCAGCAGCAAGGGCAGCAGGAGTATCAGCATGGGAGGCAGTAGTATCAACAAGGGCAGCAGTAGTATCAACAAGGGCAGCAGTAGTATCAGCAAGGGCAGCAGTAGTATCAACAAGGGCAGCAGTAGTATCAACATGGGCAGCAGTAGTATCAACAAGGGCAGCAGTAGTATCAACAAGGGCAGCAGTAGTATCAACATGGGCAGCAGTAGTATCAACAAGAGCAGCAGTAGTATCAACAAGGGAAGCAGTAGTATCAACATGGGCAGCAGTAGTATCAACATGGGCAGCAGTAGTATCAGCATGGGCAGCAGTAGTATCAACATGGGCAGCAGTAGTATCAACAAGGGCAGCAGTAGTATCAACAAGGGCAGCAGTAGTATCAACATGGGCAGCAGTAGTATCAACATGGGCAGCAGTAGTATCAACAAGGGCAGCAGTAGTATCAACAAGGGCAGCAGTAGTATCAACATGGGCAGCAGTAGTATCAACATGGGCAGCAGTAGTATCAACATGGGCAGCAGTAGTATCAGCATGGGCAGCAGTAGTATCAGCATGGGCAGCAGTAGTATCAGCAAGGGCAGCAGTAGTAGCAGCATGGGCAGCAGTAGTATCAGCATGGGCAGCAGTAGTATCAGCAAGGGCAGCAGTAGTATCAGCAAGGGCAGCAGTAGTAGCAGCATGGGCAGCAGTAGTATCAGCAAGGGCAGCAGTAGTAGCAGCATGGGCAGCAGTAGTATCAGCATGGGCAGCAGTAGTAGCAGCAGCAAGGACAGCATTATTGCTTTCCTTTATAATGTAGAGCTCTTCCCTATAATGTTGACCTGTCCTCTATAATGTAGAGCTCTCATCTATAATGTTGACCTGTCCTCTATAATGTAGAGCTCTCATCTATAATGTTGACCTGTCCTCTATAATGTAGAGCTCTCCTCTCTTGATCACGCCATTTGTTCAACCATTGTTCACTGGCTGTTCACTGCACGACAGTTCGGGGTCGAGTATGATGTATGTGTATAATTGGGAGAGTGTAGAGTGATATAACCGGCCGTCACACTCAATGGGGGCAAGCACCATGGCCGGTAATAGAGGAAAACACATCGCTGAATTAATTTTAAACAAATCATACTTGACTGAACGATGGAAGTGGCACTCGAGAGACGGAAGTGTCACTCGAACGGATGAATCGTGTGGCAGTGTTTCAAAGGTATATATTTTTATCATGTTCATTTATAGCTGCAATACGTCACCTGGTGGTTATGAAGTTTCCATGGCAATATTCAGTTGTTTTCCATAGACAGTACGTCACTTTAGTGAGTCGATTTCATTTCAAATTACGTCCAAATTTGGCCATAGCGCACATACGAGCGAAGTGACGTTATTTTTAAGAGGACGGGTTGGTTTCCCAGCTGCCTCTCTCTATATATAGATAAATAAGAAAAAGAGATATGTCAGGCTAAGCTATTTTAGACACCTCTGGCAATTCTCAATGTTAGTCAAAATTGAGACCCCATTATTTTATGCCAAGAGAACTGCCACTCTCATATGACTCGTCCTCTCGAATACTACATCGCATTTTGACGTATAACTCCCCCAACAGCCAAAAAGTTGTGTACTAAAAATCACAACGGCTCGCAAAATTTGTGATGTTCCGATATCTATTCATGGGTCCTCCGGTAGCTTAGGTTCGGGCAATTTAGTACGTCAGTTTAGTAACGTTGTTAACGCTCGAGAGGATGGACTCTTTGTAAACAAATACAAATTAATAATGTTATTAGGGTCAAATAATTATCTCTACGGTCTAAACAGATCTAAAACAGTGTAAAATTATCTCTTTGGAGTGACTCAATGTAGGCACGGCCCAAGAGCTTCACCTCACTGCTCCATAGTCACTGTTAGGTGAGTACTTCTAGCACAGATGCCACCACCACCACCACCACCCCTACTACATATAACACCAACCCCACCACAAATAACACCACCCCACCACAAATAACACCACCCCACCACAAATAACACCACCCCACCACAAATAACACCACTCACACCACAAATAACACCACCCCACCACAAAACACCATCCCACCATAAAATCACCACCCCCACTACAAAAACACCATCCCCCCCCCCAACCACAAAAACATCAACCCCACTACAAAAACACCACCCCACCAGAAAATCACCACAACCACCACAAAATCACCACCCCCACCACAGAGCACCACCCCCACCACAAAACACCACTCCCACCACAGAGCACCATCCCCACCACAAAATCACCACAACCACCACAAAACACCACCCCACCACAAAACACCACCCCACCACAAAACACCACCCCACCACAAAACACCACTCCCACCACAGAACACCACCCCCACCACAAAACACCACCCCCACCAAAAAACACCACTCCCACCACAGAACACCACCCCCACCACAAAACACCACCCCCACCACAGAACACCACTCCCACCACAGAACACCACCCCCACTACAAAACACCACCCCCACCACAAAACACCACTCCCACCACAGAACACCACTCCCACCACAGAACACCACCCCCACTACAAAACACCACCCCCACCACAAAACACCACCCCACCACAAAACACCACTCCCACCAAGAACACCACTCCCACCACAAAACACCACCCCCACCACAAAACACCACCCCCACCACAGAACACCACTCCCACCACAGAACACCACCCCCACCACAAAACACCACTCCCACCACAAAACACCACTCCCACCACAAAACACCACTCCCACCACAGAACACCACCCCCACCACAAAACACCACTCCCACCACAGAACACCACCCCACCACAAAACACCACCCCCACCACAAAACACCACTCCCACCAAGAACACCACCCCCACCACAAAACACCACCCCCACCACAGAACACCACTCCCACCACAGAACACCACCCCCCACTACAAAACACCACCCCCACCACAAAACACCACTCCCACCACAGAACACCACTCCCACCACAAAACACCACCCCCACCACAAAACACCACTCCCACCACAGAACACCACTCCCACCACAGAACACCACCCCCACCACAAAACACCACCCCCACCACAGAACACCACTCCCACCACAAAACACCACCCCCACCACAGAACACCACTCCCACCACAGAACACCACCCCCACTACAAAACACCACCCCCACCACAGAACACCACTCCCACCACAGAACACCACCCCCACTACAAAACACCACCCCCACCACAGAACACCACTCCCACCACAGAACACCACCCCCACCACAAAACACCACCCCCACCACAGAACACCACTCCCACCACAAAACACCACCCCCACCACAGAACACCACTCCCACCACAGAACACCACCCCCACCACAAAACACCACCCCCACCACAGAACACCACTCCCACCACAAAACACCACCCCCACCACAGAACACCACTCCCACCACAAAACACCACCCCCACCACAAAACACAACTCCCACCACAAAACACCACTCCCACCACAAAACACCACTCCCACCACAGAACACCACCCCACCACAAAACACCACCCCCACCACAAAACACCACTCCCACCACAAAACACCACTCCCACCACAGAACACCACCCCCACCACAAAACACCACCCCCACCACAAAACACCACTCCCACCACAAAACACCACCCCCACCACAAAACACCACCCCCACCACAGAACACCACTCCCACCACAGAACACCACCCCCACCACAAAACACCACCCCACCACAAAACACCCCCCCCCACCACAAAACACCCCCCCCCACCACAAAACACCACTCCCACCACAGAACACCACCCCCACTACAAAACACCACCCCCACCACAAAACACCACTCCCACCACAGAACACCACCCCCACCACAAAACACCCCCCCACCACAAAACACCACTCCCACCACAGAACACCACCCCCACCACAAAACACCCCCCCACCACAAAACACCACTCCCACCACAGAACACCACCCCCACCACAAAACACCACCCCCCCACAAAACACCCCCCCCACCACAAAACACCCCCCCCACCACAAAACACCACTCCCACCACAGAACACCACCCCCACCACAAAACACAACCCCCTCCACAAAAATCACCACAACCACCACAAAAATCACCACAACCACCACAAAATCACCACCACCCCCATCACAAAATCACCACCCCACCCCACTACAAAATCACCACCACCACCACAAAATCACCACCCCCACCACAAAATCACCACCCCCACCACAAAATCACCACCCCCACCACAAAATCACCACCCCCACCACAAAATCACCACCCCTTACCACAAAATCACCACCCCCCCACCACAAAATCACCACCTCCCCCCCATAACAAAATCACCACCCCCCACCACAAAATCACCACCCCCACCAAAAATCACCACCACCCCCACCACAAAATCACCACCCCCCCACCACAAAATCACCACCCCCACCACAAAATCACCACCCCCACCACAAAATCACCACCCACCACCACAAAATCACCACCTCCACCAAAAAATCACCACAAAATCACCACCCCACCAAAAAATCACCACAAAATCACCACCCCACCACCACAAAATCACCACCCCCACCACAAAATCACCACCCCCCACCACAAAATCACAACCCCCACCACAAAATTACCCCCCCCACCACAAAATCACCACCAACAAAATCACCACCCCCATCACAAAATCACCACCCCCACCACAAAATCACCACCCCCACCACAAAATCACCACCCCCACCACAAAATCACCACCCCCCACCACAAAATCACCACCTCCCCCGTCATAACAAAATCACTACCCCCACCACAAAATCACCACCACCCCCACCACAAAATCACCACCACCCCCACCACAAAATCACCACCCCCCACCACAAAATCACCACCACCACCACAAAATCACCACCCCCACCACAAAATCACCACCCCCACCACAAAATCACCACCTCACCACCACAAAATCACCACCCCCACCACAAAATCACCACCCCCCCACCACAAAATCACCACCCCCATCACAAAATCACCACCAACAAAATCACCACCCCCATCACAAAATCACCACCAACAAAAATCACCACCCCCATCACAAAATCACCACCAACAAAATCACCACCACCCCCATCACAAAATCACCACCAACAAAATCACCACCCCCATCACAAAATCACCACCAACAAAATCACCACCCCCATCACAAAATCACCACCCCACCACAAAATCACCACCCCACCACAAAATCACCACCCCACCACAAAATCACCACCCCCACCACAAAATCACCACCCCCACCACAAAATCAACACCCTCACCACAAAATCACCACCCCCACCACAAAATCACCACCCCCCCACCACAAAATCACCACCCCACCACAAAATCACCACCCCCCACCACAAAATCACCACCCCCCCACCACAAAATCACCACCCCCCACCACAAAATCACCACCCCCCCACCACAAAATCACCACCCCACCACAAAATCACCACCCCCCCACCACAAAATCACCACCCCACCACAAAATCACCACCCCACCACAAAATCACCACCCCCCACCACAAAATCACCACCCCCCCCACCACAAAATCACCACCCCCCCCACCACAAAATCACCACCCCACCACAAAATCACCACCCCCACCACAAAATCACCACCCTCACCACAAAATCACCACCCCCACCACAAAATCACCACCCCCCCACAAAATCACCACCCTCACCACAAAATCACCACCCTCACCACAAAATCACCACCCCCACCACAAAATCACCACCCTCACCACAAAATCA